AGGCTGGCAGGATGGGCCGCGCTAGCTGCGGAGGTGAAGGTCGCGGTGGGCTGGTGTCTCGGAGCACTGGAGGAGGTCTGAGGAGGCTGGCACTGTGTGGCCGCCGCCGCTGCAATCGATAAGGTGTGTTTGCGCAGAGCTGTTAGAGGTTCTCAACAAAATGCAGAATTTAACCCGAGCTTCTCCCACATTGTTTCTCTAGCGAGACGCCCTCTCTTGAAAAGAAAAGGCCAATATCCACCCAGTACCGGGTGAGACACGTCATTTCATGCCCTTGCGTAGCTGCCATACACTGCACAGTACATCTCTCAGGGAAAATAAAAAGGACTGGAAGTTGTCCCATCAAACTTTCTTCTTTCCCTTAACACACGCACGCACGCACGCACGCACGCACGCACACACAGAGCTTCCATTCTTACCTTTACAGGGAATTTTGCAACAAGGCAGTTCTGAAAGTTAATTTCTATCTTAAGAAAAACAAAACCAAAGTAATACAGAGAATCCCTTGTTTGAAAGTTAAAATACAATTTTTATCACCTCTCCTGCCATTCAGAGTCCTGATGTGGCACTATAAACACTGGACTGCTAACCACAAGGTCAGCAGTTCAAACCCAGCAGTCTCTTGTTTGGAAACCCTATTCAGGGTCACTGAGTCGGAATCAACTGGACAGGACTTAACAACAACAACTACTTGCCATTTCATAGTAACCCTCTTCAAAGCAACCATCAAGTTATAGCAAAATGACACAGAACATAGCAAGAAGGGGCCTTTCATAGGTGCCTACCGCCTCATCATCCATCTACCCACACTTCTATAGACGTCCACCTTTGTCACCAGATAAACGTGCCTCAGCCAAGTGGAGTCAGTGCACAGGAGAAAACCCAGGTTAGTGTACAGGGCCTGACCCCCACTAGAGCGCGCCAGGGCGGGCAGCTCCTTCTACTGCCCATGCCGCCAGGAGTCAACGGAGTGCCCCCGCACACCACACCACCCTCAGCCAGCAGGCCATATGTGCCTACCTTTCGCATCTGGATTGGCAGAGAAGGTGGCGATGGGGGGCCGTCCTCGGACCTGCCCTTGAGGCACAGCGGGAGCAGAGGCGGGTGGAGCCGTCCGGGGCGGGTGGGTGCTGGGGAAGACCACGGTGCGGCCCTCGGGCTTCTGGCCATACTGCACAGGCTGAAACAACCTAGACATCCGTGGTTTGGGCAGAGAGATACACAAACAGTCAGGAGACGTGGGGCAACGGGCAGCTACGCATAGGGGACCAGCACCAGAATCACGGATAGGAAGGTGCCATGGGGTCTAGCTCCTGGGCCCTAGTGTGTTTTTCACCTATCCAGACTGCACCCTTGTCTAGTGTACACCACAGAGAAGGATGTTCTAACGCTGCAGCTGCAGAACACAGCAGTGTGCAATCTAGCTGAACCCAAGCACGGGTTTATTCTCCCACCCCACCCTGTCACACACACACACACACACAAACACACACACACACACTGCTGCTGAGGGGCTGCCGCGACCTCTCCTGATTCATTTGTGTTTGGTTTCCTGTCCCACCGGGCCTGTGGCACCTGCAAGAGAGCTGGTGGTCCAATGGCAGCAGCATGGTTGGCCGTGCTCACCGTGTGGGCACCGTGTCAGACTGCTCCATCACCCAGGTTCAATCCCGCTCCCTTTCCCGACATGCCCTTCCTCAGTCTAGGGATCCAGCTAAAGACACAGACATGGTACACACAGCCCCCCCCGCCCCCCCGCCCCCATGCAAGGCACGTGTGGTCACTAAGGAGCCACTCTCAGGTAAACGGGAGGAGGAGATGTGCCAAAGGAGCAGACCAATCACAGTGAGCGGCTTTCCACACCACTCAAAGCCTCAGCTCCATACATGAAACCCAGAGTCCAGGCCTCCTATGCGGGAGGTTCACTATCCACTGCTGGGGGCCTCCACACCCCCTGCCAGCCAGGAGCCTGGAAACCCACTCTGAGCTGATTCATGATCAGCAGGAAGAAAAGAGCAGCCGCCCAGCACAGCCGCAGCACGGTGACCACCGGGATGGGAGCAGAGAGCGCGGAGACTTGAATCCAACACACCGCCTACCTGCTTGGCTTCAGCTTCACCGCGACAGGTCTGGCTGAGGGAGGAGGAGAGGCAAAGCTCTCCTCAATGAGCTTCCGTGTCACCTTCTTCTTTGACAGCAGCTCTGCCTCATGACGAGCCATTTTATTCTCTATCCCAATGAGATCAAACATAGAAAGATCTGCTTCCTAAGGAAAATAGATGGAAAAATCCTGACTACAGAGCGGGAGAAGGGCCAGCAATGCCGACAGGGGGCTGACTCTTGGTGTTGATGTCTCCCCAGCTCAGATGGAGTTTTAACAGAAGGGGCTAGAAGATTCCAATGTGAACAGCACGCTAGACAACAGAATGGGAAGAGCCCTGCGTGCTGGTATGTGGAGGTGGCTCCTGGGATCCGGGCCTAGCTCCCTCTAGGATGATGGTGAGAGCCCATCAGTGTCTCAGTGAGAGGATGCAGCAGTAAGCATGAGACTTGCCCAGACACCGGGGGCTCCACAGGCTCTGCACACAGCCTGCACACCCAGAGGAGCCCACTGCCGACTTCCCACACCACACGCCAGCACCCTCCTGGGTCTGTACCTACGGCAGGTGGTTTAGCCACATACCTGTCCATTAAGATATCAAGAACCAAAGAAGTGCTGATAACAGGTGGCCTCATACATGGGCTGTTCTGGGGGGAGGGGGGGGACAACGGACAGACACAAAATGGTGCATGGCTGTGGGAAGCAGACCAGCAGTACCTCAAAATATTAGACATTTTGTCCAATAAGCAATTCCACTCCTGCATATTCGTCCAAGAGAGCTAGATACACACACTTACATGCAAACTCATACACAAATGCTTACAGAAGCACTGCTCCTAACAGTCACAAGCAGAAACAACACAAGAGTTCACAACTAACAGATACACACAAACGTAGTCCACGCAGACAATGAAGACTTGGAAGGAATGAACCCTGACCACACAAGGAGCCAAAAAGACCAAGTGTTGTAGGAGCCAACAGGAGAAGACAAATGCAAAGATGCAGCCAAGTCGGGTCTGGGTCTGCTAAGGAGTCTCTTGGGTAATGAAATGCCCTCTGTACAACATTGTGAGTAGATCAACACCACTGCCCGAGAAAGACAACAGGCAAGCAAGTGTGAACAAACTGCTGCCCCTCCAACACCAAGGATAACATCTGTCAGCAAGTCAATGGAATGCTACGCCAAGAGGCCAGCATTTCACGATTCTGGCTCAATATTGTCTCTCAAACCAAACCTGATTCTTAACAACTTATCAAAGGTTTCTAAGACTGTGAACCTTTATGGCAGCAGATGGCCTCATCATTTTCCTGTGGAGTGGATGGTAGACTTGAACCACCAACCTTCCAGTTAACAGTCCAACCCATGGTGCCACCAGGGTACTTCAGAATCAGGCGATGCCAAATTCAAAACAAACCCTTGTTAGAGATATATTTCTAAAGTTAGAAACAATACAGATAAAAATCACCATGTACCCAATACAGCAATAGCAACAGGAACCGTCCCCAAGTGGTGGGAAGGAGAAGGGCCTACACTCACACACATCTAGCTTTGACAGGACATTTCTACACATGCATTTAGGTGCTGCGGATACATCCAGTGTACAGCAAAGAACACAGGGGAAAGTGATGGAAACTTCGGTCACAACCAGATACATGGAAAGAATGAGTCACACTGGGGCTCCAGACCACAGTGCCTGAAGAATTTAAACAAGAAAAAAAAAAAAAAAGCTGCTTCTACAATGAACCTAGAGAAGAGCTCAGGGGTGATCTCCTTTCTGAATTCTTATCATACCTTCCAGAAATCTCTCTCCAAGGCCTTGAGAGTCAGAGAGGCGGAACGGTACTCCAGAGCTCCAGCCACATACGAGGAGTCGGGCAGTCTGGGCTCCACGAGGCCCGGGTGATTGCAGATACGCTGCAGCTTAATGAGGATGCTCAGGACATTGACGAAGTGGCCGCTCTTGAGTGCTTCCTGCGTCCTGCATGGTTAAGAGACAGCACTAGTTCCATCTGTGAGTGTGTCTTACTGTCTGTCCAGTGGGACCTGCTGTCCTAATTCCAGAATCAGGACACCGAGTGTGTTTTATGCACACGTGGTGAAGAGCACAGGTTGGACGCTTCTGCTCACCTCACACGCCAGATGTGGAACAACCTCCACAAAAACCAAAATCCATCAAGTCCATTCCAACTGAAAGCACCCTACAGGGCCCTACAGACGGCCTCACTGCTCTCCAGCGAAGCCGCTAGAGCGGAACTACCCACCTTTCAGTTAGCTCTCAGCTGCTCCTGCTCTGGATCTGATGACAACTGGGTGCTCGAGTGGGGGGGGGGGTTCCCTCAGGTACCTGCCCTACATTTCCCTGGTGATGGGCATTAACAGTGACACTTCCTCTGAATGTCTACATGTGGGCACCATCCTACACACATGTTCCTACAGGTACACAAGCTTTCCTCACAGGAGGACTGCACAGATGCAGCTTTAAGGGCAGAGACAGCAACAGGCCCTGGATCATCACCGGGTTTTGGGGGGGGGGGGGGGGGGGGGGGGGGGGGGGGGGGGGGGGGGGGGGGGGGGGGGGGGGGGGGGGGGGGGGGAGTGGCCTAACTCTACCTGAGCTCCACCCTCAACACCTGCACACAGTCACGCGGACACTGTATGTGAGGTGGGGCTTCCTGGAGTCACAGGTTCCTTCTCACCCAACTGGAACCTCACGAGCCAAAGAAATCACCAGCAAGGTCAAGGTGCCCCAAGACATGGAACTGGGGCCGCAACCTGGGAGAGTTGGTGCAGTGATTACCAAATCCCAACAGACATACCAATTCTCAAAACTCAAGTGTGTCATGTAAATGCGGGAAAAGAGCCCGGAGGCAGGCCCCAGTGCAGGTGCTGACGGAGCACCAAAAGTGCACAGTGGGCTCATGTGCTCTGGGCTGCCCCCCTGAGGACACAGCTGGCCCAGGTCCCAGACTCCAGGCTCACAAGAGAGTTGGAGCATCAGAGGCTCTCCAGAGCAGCTCACACTAGAAAGACTGCACAGCTGCCCTGAGTGCCAAGCTGGCCTGAAGAGCCGATTTGGAGGACACTCAGTGAGGCACATGTGGCCCTGGGGCCCTGGCAGAGGGTTGAGCATTACCTCTGCCTCCTCCCCACGCCCTCACCATGGCCATAGTGTCCAGAAGACTAAATGAAGCCCCTTGATGCACTGTACACACACCGAGGCTGAAGGATGATGTCTTCATACAGGGCCTTCTGCCGGCTAGAGAGACGGCACTTCAACACGTGTTCATACTTCTTGGTCAGCTGCTTCTCCACATCTCTCTTAGTTCTCCTCAAGATAAACGGCTGGGTCACCTGGAACCACAGATGCACTAGTGTAGTCTCCACACTGTGCCTCTGACTGACAGACATGCTCTATAGGGAGCTGTGTGCACTCTGATTAAATGGTTCCATCTACAGGGGCCACCTGGCTGACTGGCAGACTCTGTTGAGGGCTGCATTACCTCTGAAGAACTGCAACCACCACCCACATACCCGATGCAGCCGGATGACCACTTTATGGTAGTAATCCTGGTTCTCGTCATTGGGGGCCTTCAGCGGGAAGTTCAGGTAGGGTCTGGAGATACCCGGGATGAGGAAGTGCACCATGGTCCACAGCTCCAGGAAGGTGTTGTGCAGAGGTGCATCTATCAGAAGCAAGCGCTGCTGACTGCAAATCAGACAACAGGCTAGTGAAATTGTCAACTTCACAAACACAGCTGGATGTTTAAGAAAGGAGAAGACCAGAGGTGATGGAGCAGAGAACCTAGACCAAGGGAATCAACTCCTGAGGCTCTTCAGCCTCATATGTTCAGGACAATCCTTAATCCATTCACCCACCTCCCTCAAGTCGACAACAGCAAGTAGGCTTGCAAACCTGTGCAGGCTGAAGACAGTGCCCCAGTGCCTGTCGGTCATGTTCTTCACCTGCTGCATCTCGTCAATGACCAGGCACCTCCAGCGCACCTTGGCAAAGGAGTGGTAGCCCTTGAAGAAGCGTTTGTACGACGTGATGCAGATGTTGAAGCTGTAGGGTTCTGTCCACTCCTGCAGAGCACACAACAAGGCTGCAACAGTCTGCCCACACCTTTGTGTTTGCAATAAATGACCCTGAGAACACATTTGAGACTTCTCACCATTGACATACCCGGCTCCGACCTACAGTGTTTCCCTCTGTTTTCTCTAGTAACCCGGCTAATGGCAGAACAGGAAATAGTGGCGTTTATATTTGTCTATGTTTTCCTCTAGGAGTCTACAGCGCTTCTGTTGACTAAGTAAGAAGGAGCTCTGGAAGTGTTAACAGATCCCCATGAAGTATCCTGTAGTGTCTGTGGTATGTAATCTGAGTCAAGAGCACATGTACTCAGAGGACAACAGGGAACACAGTTGTAATGCTGCAACTGCCTGCGCTCTGTACTTGTCCCACGGGATTTTCACAAGTCTAAATCTTTACAGAAGCAGATGGCCTCATCTTTCCGCTGTGCAGTGGCTGGTTGGTTAGCTTAACCCACTGTGCTACCAATGCTTCTTCAATCCTCAGAAAATACCACACACACAAATTCAATTGGCAAGGCAAACTTTATCCTTCATGAAGATTTTCATGCATATACGTTTTTGTTATTTCTATACATGACATCACAAGCTGAGGTGGGACTGAGAGTCTGCTCACAGGCCCATTCAAGTCAGAACACTGCCCTGAACTCATGTGGGGCTCTAAATTGTCGGCCTGACTTTGGGCAACCCGGGATCTCCTCTGAACCAGGTGATTACCAACAAGTTTGCAGGTGAGGAAGACGGCAGCCCATCCAGGGAACAGTCTATGATATTCTACAACTTTCTGGAAAACAAGTCTCCCTGTTTTCTGGGAAGGGAGGGAGCCCTTCGGGTAACCGGGCTTCCTTATGGGTAATGACGTGTCTCTGCATCCAGGGGGTATAGAATCCAAAACCAACTCGGAGGGTCAAGAAACTCACAAACAAGCACACTACGAAATACATCTGAATATTCTGAAATTCTCTTTTTAAAAAGTAAGCCAGCATTCCTTTCCGTTTGGTTTGGTGTTGAGTTTTAACAAGTACCTGTCTCTTGGCTCTCAGCTCTCTCCGGCTGCCGACATACAGCAGGGTTTTCAGCCCGGGGCACCAGCGCTTCAGCTCCAGCTCCCACTTGAGGATGTTGCAGCTTCGGACAACAACAAGGTGGGGGCCCCAGTTGCCTGCACGGGGAGAGAGACACAGGTCTCGCCGCTTAGCTACGTCACTGTGGCTCCCCGTGGCTGGCCTGTGCTTATCCACAGAAGCCCGACCACTGTGACTCAAACAAACGGAGGCACAACCAAGGCAAATCCAGGTGTGAGTCACAGACATCACAAGTTTGGTTCTAGACCACTTCAGGAGACGCCAATTTTTGGTTTCTCAGTGCACATAAGAAATTATGTTGACACTTGACGGTACTCTACTAAGTGTGATGAGAAATTCACAGTCCAGTGAGAAGGACAACATAGACACTGAGCACAGGCTGTGCAGTGAAGACGTCGCTGACCAACAGCAGCCCTCCACTGGTACAGCGTGCAGTCTCGGTGAGCTTTCATAAAGTCAAGCCCAATACAGTGAGGTGTGCCTGAATCAGGCGGACCCCACAGTTAGCACTGTAACAAACCCAAACTGCCCAGCTCCAGCTACATGTCTGCCGCTCACCACGGAGGCAGCCCTTCACTAGCTGAATGACACGCTCACCACACGCTGTAAACACACTCTCCACCACCCTCCCATCTGCCAGCGTGCCACACGTGGAGCTATGGCACTGGTGTATTCTAGAACCAAGCAGAGCCACCCAGGGTGGGCAGGTTTCAGCTGAGCTTACAGACTAAGGCAGGACTAGGTAGAAGGAGATATTCACTACTTCCAAACAGTCCGTCACTGAAAACCTTACCAATAGCAGCGGAACACTGTCAGATATAAAATACTGAAACATGGTGAAAAACACCAGAATATTATCAGCTATAGTACCAGAACACAAGGCCCTCAAGTTTGAAAACACACAAAATAACACTGGGGAAGAAGTGCCCACTCAAAAGTACAGTGGACTGGGATGACACAGATGGAATAAAGCCGTCAGCGCCTTCATTTGCGGATGGAGCACAACTCAAAATGAAGAGCAACAGCCGCAAACATATATTAATAATCGGAACAGGGAATGTACAAAGTATGAAACTAAGAAAACTGGTCATTGTCAAAAATGAAATGGAACACATAAACATCGCTATCCCAGGCATTAGTGAGCTGAAATGGACTGGGATTGGCCATTCCGAATCAGAAAATCACAAGGTTTACTATGCCAGGAATGACAAACTGAAGAAAACGAGATCTCATTCATCATCAAAAAGAACATTCCGAACAAAAGAAGAAAAGGGAGAAGACACAAATAACACGTATTAGAAACTACATGGTAAATGTCACAATGGAACCGAAGGAAATCACAACGATACAGCAACAGAACACTATGAAAAGCTGTACTCCAACAAACTTTGAAAACTTAGAAGAGATTAATACATTTTCAGAAAAACACAACCAGCTAAACTTACATGTTACATGGAGTGATGTAAAAAACCTGAACACCCATAACAAAAGAAGAAAATGATCAGCTCATCACAAAACTGCCATCCAAAAGAAGTCGAAGCCAAGATGAATGCTAACAAACATCCAGGGAAGAGCTGTCACCAATTCTACCAAAATTATTCCAGAAGATACACGAGGACGGAAAACTTCCTAATACATTTTTTTGAAGCAAGCATAACCCTCATACCCAAACCAGGGAAGGATGTCACTAAGAAAGAAAATTATAGATCAATAGATGCAAAATTTCTCAACAAAACCCTAGCCAACAGAATCCAGCAGCAAATCAAAAAAATAATACATCATGACCAAGTGGGATTCATATCAGGGACGCAATGATGGTTTAACATTAGAAAGACAATCAACGTAATTCCACCATATAAATAAAACTCTATTTACAGACAATATGATCCTATACACAGAAAACCCCAAAGACTCAGTAAAAAAGCTACTGGACCTTATTGGAAGATTCAGTACCATGGCAGGATATAAGATCAACATAGAAAAATCAGTTGCAGTCCTCTATACCAATAACGACAGCAGTGAAAAGGACATTAGGACAGCAATAGCCGCCCAAAGGGTGAAATATCTAGGAATATATGTAACCACAGAAACAAAGAACCTATACAAAAAAAACTACAAAACAAAACCAAAAAACACTACCACAAGACCCAGCCGGTCTCCTCCCTCCCTGCCTTCTTCGGATGGCGGCTATTTATGCTGAACGTGGGCCAGAGATGGGTAAGGATTACGTGGAACCTCGGCAACCTAAGACAGAGCCATTGCCATGCTGCAATGAGTTTCGATGATAGGTAAGACGGAGGAATTCACACTGACCGCCTAAGACAGGCAGCGTCCCCTAAACAAATAATAAATAAGGGGGAAACAAATGTAGACCGGGCAGA